CCAGCGAGCAGGTATTTCTCTTAGGGCATCATTGATAAGCATAAGGAAGCAGAGTGGTCCCATCTTGGTGCCTTGGGGGACACCACAGGTGAGTGACTGAAAGGTGGAGACAGCCGCTCAGAAGCGTACAGCTTGGCGTCGGTCACTGAGGATGTCTGCAAGCCATGGTATAATACTTCTCCGAAGCCCGAGGTCAATAGCTATGTTGATGATTAAATTGTGGTTGACTAGGTCGAATGCTTTAGTGAAATCAATGAAGGCGACAGCTACAGACGTTTTTCGTTTCTCGAGATGGCGGTATATGTAATCGAGAATACTGACAAGACAGTGAGTGGTGGAGGAAGGTTTCATATTGCCAAATTGCTGACGGCCTACGACTCCTGCAATATCAGCATAAGCCCAGTCGAACACACACATATGTGCGCATGTGTGTATGCATATATATATATATATATATATATATATATATATATATATATATATATATATATATATATATATATATATATATATATATATATATATATGCTGATAACCACAAGGAAAGAAGAAAACACGAAGTTCCCAAGCGCTTTCGTGTAATTCACATCTTCAGGGGTGAGTACAGACTAGAGAGAGTAATACAAATCAAGGTGTATATATACAGAGGAGGGTGAGACCAGGTCCACAATGGTCAGGTATTAGGTAATGACCCTACTAATCTTTAAATAGCACACAACGGTTGGTGGTCAGGTCAGATGGTCAAGTGACCCGGCCTTCTCACCTGATCACAAATCTTCTTAATTACAAAATTGTCCAGCTTGTACATGCCGTTACTCAAATTCATGTTGAATGCTTCGGTATGTTTAATAAGACTAGATTCTATGATGTTCCTACTATCAATTGAATTACATGGTAATATTGAGGAGGCATTATCCCAGTCAATGCAATGCTTGTTATCCCTCAAGTGAACAAACAGAGCATTGGATTCCTGGCCTGTCCTAACACTGTTAACTGTTAACATTTTTGTTTAACAGTGCATGAGTTTTTAAATGCCACATTGACGTTCCAGGTTTTTAGCTGTGCAGGAATTTAAAAACTCATGCACTGTTAAACAAATGTTAATCAAGAACTCCCCCAACAACACAATTGGTTGCATTTATAAAGTTCCTTGCAAGGAATGTAATATGTTTTACTTAGGCCAGACAGGTAAAGATCTTGCAACTAGAATTAAACAACACAAATACAGTGTTAGGACAGGCCAGGAATCCAATGCTCTGTTTGTTCACTTGAGGGATAACAAGCATTGCATTGACCGAATTCAATTGCATCATCAGATATTTTATATATATAATATATATATATATATATATATATATATATATGCTGATAACCACAAGGAAAGAAGAAAACACGAAGTTCCCAAGCGCTTTCGTGTAATTCACATCTTCAGGGGTGAGTACAGACTAGAGAGAGAAATACAAACCAAGGTGTATATATACAGAGGAGGGTGAGACCAGGTCCCCCCTGCCCATATGTTCTCTTAGCAGTTTAAAGACTTCGATATCTTTTGAACTGCCCCCTCTAGAGCCCCAGCCAGGGTTGTTACTCCATCCCTAGACAGGTGCACCCCATCCCTAGCATATAGGTCCCTTCTGCCATAGGAGTTGTCCCAGTTGTCAATGAATGGGACTGATATTGACTTGCAATATCTGTCAAGACGGTCGTTAACACCAACTGCCCTTGACAACCATTCACTGCCAACTCCCCTTCTAGGCAGGACACCGCATATGATAGGGATCCCTCCCTTAGTCCTAATACGATCTATGGCTGCCTTGAACTTATCAAGAAGTTCCTCGCTCCTACACCGGCCAATATCATTGCCTCCTGCACTGAGGCAGATAATGGGTTTGTTCCCATTACCAGACAAGATATTGTCCATCCTGTCAATTATATCCCCCACCCCAGCTCCTGGCAAACACACCCTCATCCTATTTTTGGTTTTACCACAAAAGGCCCTGTCCATGTACCTTACCTGTGAGTCACCAACAATTAAAGTTTTTATACCTTCCTTGTCATCCCTGCCCCTGACTGTACTAACGTCCAATTCGTCTATCAAGGGACTGAACGGGTTGGTACACTTAGCTGTTGTTGTCGTTGTTGTCGTGTGCTTCTTCACCACCAGTTTGGTCCTCCCACTACTCACGACTTTCCACTCGTTTGATTTTTCGTCAGACACTGGCTTTACTCGTCCAGCCTCTCCTTTTAACTTCGCCAGCTCTTTCCTTAATTTCAGGTTCTCCAATGTGGCCCTCTCAATTTCTAACTTGGCCCTCGCCAATTCTTCAGTGGACCACTCCAGTTTGGTCAACAAACTCTCATACCCAAGACCGCACATATCACTGGCCATATCTGATAATTATCCCTCTGGAGCTAGCCCTGCCGTGACCTTTCCCCAAATATCATCATTAACTCGAATACGCTGAATTGCTTCAAACATAGGTTGGATGCTCATATGAGCAATAGGGGTTGGGTGTAAACGGGACTGCCCAGTATGGGCCAATAGGCCCGCTGCAGTTTCCTCCATTCTTATGTTCTTATGTTCTTATGTTTGAAGCAATTCAGCGTATTCGAGTTAATGATGATATTTGGTAACTTGTTCCATTCATCCACTACTCTGTTTCCAAACCAGTGTTTACCTATTTCACTCCTAAATCTAAATTTGTCTAATTTAAAACCATTGTTACGAGTTCGCTCCTGGTTGGATTGCTTGAGTACCTTTGTAATGTCCCCTTTGTTTAGCCCTGCCTTCCACTTATACACCTCTATCAGGTCGCCCCTCGCTCTACTTCTCTCAAGGGAGTGCAAATTAAGATGCTTTAACCTGTCTCTATACTCAAGGTTCCTAATGCCCGGGATTAGTCTTGTCATTCTCCTCTGAATTCTTTCCAAGGATTCTATATCCATTCTGTAATACGGTGACCAGAACTGAACTGCGTAATCCAGGTGTGGTCTCACAAGAGCAAGATAAAGTTTTAGGATGACCTCGCTAGTCTTGTAACTAACACTCCTTTGTATGAACCCAAGTACTTTATTAGCCTTGTTACGAGCAAAAACACATTGTTTACTTGGCTTAAGGTTTCTATTTATCATTACTCCTAAATCTCTCTCGCAGTGGGATTTCTCTATGGCATCGTTGTTCATCTGGTATCTGGTTTCCCTGTTTACATCTCCTATACTGAGTACTTTACATTTGTCGACGTTGAATTTCATCTGCCATTTTTCAGACCATTTGAAAATTTTTTTTGGATCTTCCTGTAGTTTTGCCGAGTCCTCGTCAGATTTGATAACAAGTCCTATTTTAGTGTCATCAGCAAATTTACTTATGTTGCTGTCAATGCCTATATCTATGTCGTTTATGTATATAATAAATGATAATGGTCCAAGTACTGAGCCTTGGGGAACTCCACTTGTGACGTTGCTCCAATGGGACTTAGTGCCGTTAATGCTCACTCGCTGTTTCCTGTCCTGTAACCACGCCCTAATCCATTTAAGGATGTCACCATTGATCCCATGAGCTTCTACCTTTCTGATTAGTCTTTCGTGGGGGACTCTGTCGAAGGCTTTGCTAAAGTCGAGATATACCACATCATAATTGTGCCCCTCGTCCACCGATTCGAAAACTGATGAAAAGAATGTTAATAGATTAGTTAGACAAGAACGTCCGCTTGTGAAGCCATGCTGGGAATCATTGATCAATCGGTGCAAGACTGTAAATTGCCATTCCTAGACTGTCTGATACACAGAATAGGTAACACTTTTAAGTTCAGTACTTATAGAAAACCAACTAATGTGTGTTCCTACATTCATTATTATTCTGCCCACCATAATAAAGTCAAACAGTCAGTATTTTCAAAAATGTTTTTACGTGCCTTGAGAATTTGCAGTCAGGAATTCATCGATGAGGAATACAAATATATATATAATATTGGCTCAAACCTTAAATACCCTAGATCTTTCATAGACAAATGCCTAAACATTACTAAGAAAACTTTTTATAGAACTGATCCCAAGCCCACCCATGACCATAAGAATATCTTAATATTACCATTTCACAAAAATTTCTCACATTCCTTCACAACTAAAAACCTGGAACGTCAATGTGGCATTTAAAAACTCATGCACTGTTAAGCAAATGTTAACCAAGAACTCCCCCAACAACACAATTGGTTGCATTTATAAAGTTCCTTGCAAGGAATGTAATATGTTTTACTTAGGCCAGACAGGTAAAGATCTTGCAACTAGAATTAAACAACACAAATACAGTGTTAGGACAGGCCAGGAATCCAATGCTCTGTTTGTTCATTTGAGGGATAACAAGCATTGCATTGACTGGGATAATGCCTCCTCAATATTACCATGTAATTCAATTGATAGTAGGAACATCATAGAATCTAGTCTTATTAAACATACCGAAGCATTCAACATGAATTTGAGTAACGGCATGTACAAGCTGGACAATTTTGTAATTAAGAAGATTTGTAACCAGGTGAGGAGGCCGGGTCACCAGACCATCTGACCTGACCACCAACCGTTGTGTGCTATTTAAAGATTAGTAGGGTCATTACCTAATACCTGACCATTGTGGACCTGGTCTCACCCTCCTCTGTATATATACACCTTGGTTTGTATTTCTCTCTCTAGTCTGTACTCACCCCTGAAGATGTGAATTACACGAAAGCGCTTGGGAACTTCGTGTTTTCTTCTTTCCTTGTGGTTATCAGCATATATATATATATATATTTATAAAAAAAATAAATATACAGTATATATATAAAAAATTAATAAAAAAAAATAATATATATATATATATATATATATATATATATATATATATATATATATATATATATATATATATATATATATATATATATAAAAGTGTGTGTGTGTGTGTGTGCTCAAGAAGCTTCCACTTAATAGGTAATTAAATACTTATATGTATAAGGATGAAATGTTGAATGATGGATAATAAGAAGTTATTTTTTATTTCGTTTCCACGTTTCAAAATATCATAATTTTCTGTTAAAGGTCCCACAGTCAGCCCACAACGCACTGGACTTCAGGTCCGCTGACTCTCAGCCTCAGTTCTTAATCGAGGAGCCAGACTTCTGCCGAAAGCGTCCTAACCTGTCCATTGTGGCGTACGTCCACTCCTCCATTAGTTCCGTGATGAAGAGAATGGAAACCCGAACTACGTGGGCGTCTGCGGGTGTTCATGACGAGGGTGTGAAGATGGGCGTTGTGTTTATGGTGGGTCAAGTGAAAAACAGTTTAGAAAGCAAAATAATCAGAGACGAGAGCAGACGATTCGGCGACATCGTACAGGTGGGTAAGGTATTTAGCTGCGTCTGTATGGTAGTTGAATTGTCTGTCTGTAAATAAAGTAAGCAGATGACCTGAGAAGTAATTACTTAATTCCCTGGTTCTTCATCATAGGTTCCACACATACTTAGGGCATGAGGTCAAACGTCAAAATCACAAATACATTAACGTTTAATATCACAGAATTATGTAGGTTTACACTCTGTAGACTGTATCTCTACTGAACGCCCACTAATTTTATTAGAATACTTTTTATGCAGTTAGTTTATGGGATCATCGTCAAATTGTGAAATAAAGCAAGTAGATGATTAATTCATTCCTTGGCTAAGGAGACAGCTCTATAGTCCACACGATAATTATTTCCCCAGTTTTCTAAGCTCTGATCATGTGGTAACAATCACCTAAAACGCTCTTATAATGTGTTTTCTTTTTTGTTCAGGGAAACTACACGGACACATACCACCTGCTGAGCCACAAGGCGTTAGCGTCGCTACAGTGGGTGTTGAAACACTGTCCACACGTCCCCTGGACTCTCCACGCCACCACAGACAGTTTCATCTGTTACAACTGGAAAAACGCAATAGTCAGACGGGATGGTCGATGGTGCGTGCGGCCTGAGGAATTTCCCGATCTCAACTACCCTTCCTACTGTGCTGGAGGGGCGTGGGTTATTGCTACACATCTTGGGTCATGTCTTCTCCACGCTGCAAAGACCGCCCGGTTCCTCTGGGTTGACGATGTTTATATTACCGGTGTCTTAGCCCAACCCGCCGGTGTCGGACGCTCTATGAAACATAACAAATACTTCAGATTAGAGGGCATCGACGAGGAGGAGTTGGGGGACAAAATATTTTGGTTTGAACCCAACAAACCTAGAATGACGTGGTGGTTGAAACTCCTCAGCCATTACAAGTATTTCTCTCCTGTGTTTCCTTCGTAACTCATTTCTGTCAGGAAAATCCAGGTGAAATGTCCTTCATATCAATGCATGCCTTATCATAGGAGTTTTTATCAACGTTAATTCAATGCAATCCTTAAATCATAAAATAGTGCTACCACAATCACAACAGCACGGTGCACACAACTGACTGGGTCTCCATCCCACCCTGAACTTTTTATCATTATTATTACAATACAAATATTATGAAACTTATAACTTTAATTAACAAGGACCCGTCATTAATTTTGCACTATTTGGAAACTTACTGAACTATAACTCCAACTATCATTTGATGGGGTAGGGGGCAGAGTCTTTACGCCCGACTCTTCTGGATCCCCGGCTACGCGAAGGCCTGGATACAAATTTTGTATCGTGACTGTACAGTACAGGTAAATATAAAACCCCTTAAAAATGCACTCCATTTGTTATAGGGAAGCTGCAAAACACAAGAATATTCCAGGCCAAGAAACAGATCTTGGACATCTCAACTCGTTAAAGAATCTTTGTTTAATTCGTCTTCACATTTTCGTGTTCGCCCGAGACTACCTACTGTATGTATGAAACTTGGTCATTTATAAATGGTCGAAGCTCTGGCAGTGTAGAAAATATCCCGAGACGTGGTTGCGATTATTTATGGCATTTGTGTGTATGTCACTTAAGTTTCGTGTGATATTAATCCTATATCAGTAATACAGGACTGAAATAATCACATAAAACTTTAAATCATGACAATAAAAAAAACTTTGCAAGCGACCTCCCCTTCCCTTTTTCTCCTCCCTCTCCCTCACACTCACTCACGGACTCCTGTCCCCTCTCTACTTCTGCTAGACCCAGATTCTCAAAGGTTTGTGCTCTACTCAGCGTATTCACCTACTAGAAATATGAGATTGTACAATCACAAACAAAAGTTTCCTCCCCCTTCGTGGTGAGTAACAGGAGTAAGTACCGACTCACTTTTACCTGGCTGTCGTCTGATGCGGGTGTGATAGGAAACCCATAGATGGCTCTGGCACTATCGGCGTTCCTGACTTGTGACAGAAAGTTTGGTATTTGACTGAGCTTTGAAACACAATCTACTCAATATTGATATGTTAAAAAAATCCACTATGGAAATACAAAGAATCGATTGTGTTTCTTATAATGCATTGTAAATTATGAGTGACAATTTTAACTGTTACCCTCCGCAAATTCAACAGCTACTTTTTGGAGGGTTGTGTTTCTTAAGAGTTTAGTATTCGAACATCCCAAGTTTCTTGTTGCAATGGGATTTTTAGTGGTACAAGTGGCACAAGTATTTTTCCTACATTTACTGGCAGACTACCCTGCTATGGAAATGAGATGCGGACAAAATCCCTCGAGGATAAAAAAAATGAACAAAAGCTCCCAAGAACAAAACCCCCTCAGTTAAAGTGCAAAGTAGGATAAAACCCCTTCAGTTACATTGCAAAATTGGTTAAGTTAGGTTAGATTGGGTTGGGTAAGATTATGTTAGGTTAGGTTAAGTTAGGTTAGGTATTGCAGGTTTATGATATAATAAATGTAATATATTACATCCCACAGAAGTGTTCACAAACATGTCATTAAAAACGGGAGTGGTATACCAGAATCCTGGAGAATAGCGAATGTGATACCGATTTTCAAGAAGGGAAATAGATCAGTATCCTCTAACTACCGTCCAATTACTTTAACATCAATTGTAGGGAAATTGCTGGAAGCAATAATTTGAAACTCAATTCGAAATCACCTCCAGAAACACAAATTGAGCATTGATTGCATTGGACTCGCAAGTGGGCGCTCATGTCTGACAAATCTATTACGATTATGATTTGGTTTATCTCGACTTGAGCAAAGCCTTCGAGAGGGTCCCCCATGAAAGACTAATGCATAAAGTGGAGGCACGGGGAATTGGAAATGTTCTTAACGGGAATAGGGCATGGTTAAATGACACGAAACAGAGTCCTAGGGAATGTTAGATGGAAATGAGTGGTGCTTATGCTGAGCTCCCAATTAGGTAGGAAGTGCATTTATATTATGTCTTGTATATTTTATATGTAAATATATGTAAATAGGGTAGACTTACCTCGGTGTTTCTGATGGTACTTTGTCGTCCAGGATTTTATTCTTCAGCTACAGCTGAGTCTTTGGGAACTCCTAAAGAGTATTTCGTAAAGCCTACCCTACTTAAAGCTTGCCTTAGCAGTATATCACTGTTGTCCAGCTCTGTGTCTTTTGGGGTAAGCGTGGGCGAGACACAGAGCTGTGATAATAGAAGCATGAAACTTTCTTTATTTATTGTCAAAGAATATGTGCTGCCTAGCAACCATGCCAGTCAATGGATTGATAAAATATAAACAAGGAATCCGGGAATTGGCTGTATTTTCACGTTAGCAGAACAATATTTCATATATTGTTTTCAACACTGCTTATTCATTCATAATGATCCATATGTACCTTTCCCAGTGAAATTTTAAAGCAATAAAATCAGGAATGTCCCCAGCACTGTCTGCTGGAGGAACGTACAAAAGTGTCTCGAAAAGGAAACATCAGTTACAAATGATGCACCAGATATTGATGGGACAGCTTTAGTTCACATGTTATCACCAGGACGTAGGACTAACTGTAAGACATCTGGTCAATATGCTATTTTTATTTATTTTTAATGGGGAATAGCCCATCCGGGTACAGGTCATCAACCCACAACGGGGCCTGGGGGGCGAAAAAATAAGAGTAAACATAAATTAAAAATAGAGGAGAAAAAGACGATTAATCTACACCACGAAGATACCGGAAAACCAGCTTTTTGAAGTGAGACAGATTGTAAGAGTATGAAAACACAGAAGGAAGCAGAGCATTCCACAGTTTGGCTGTGTGAGGAAAGAAGGATGTACTATGATGGGTTATTCTAGCGTGACCGACATCCTTTGAGAAAGGCTGGGCACCACTGGCAGGACGAGTGTTACGAGCCCACGGCCTTGTCGGCGGTACACAGGATGCCAAATCCACTGAATATTTCCCGTTAAAGTACCTGTAAAAGAGAGAAAGTGAAGCAACATATTGGCGAAGAGAAAGGGAAGAGAGATTATCAAATAAGGAGGAGAGTTATTAAGACCAAATGCCTTTGGTTCCACCCTATCTAACACTTGGACAGAAGAGCCATCCCAGATATGAGAGCAGTACTCCAAGTTAGGACGAATGAATCCCTTATAAACTTGAAGCAACTGCTCAGGAGTGAAGTAGCTACGACATCTGTACAGCATTCCCAGCTTTAGGGAGGCAGCTTTAGCAATGTTGTGGATGTGTGGCTTCCATGACATATTAGAAGAAATGTTGAGGCCTAGCATATCTATTTTAGAATTTGACAGAATGATTGCATGTAACAGCACAATTTGTATTATATAAATATTTACCCAAATGTATATGATCCATATATTCACCAAGTCATTCATCCATGAGTCTGAATCAATTGGTGAGTTGACATTTCCTCTGGGGAGCAGGCGAGGTCAAGCTTGGTCAACACATTTCAACAACAACCTGACGCGCATCCTGTAAGTAACGCCGGACAACTCCCTCTCCTTGGTGAGAGAGAGAGAGACTATCATAACACCTGTTACCCAGTGAGCGTCTCATTTAAGTGTTCTCTTATACACGTGTACTAAGACATTCCCCTAAGCAGAGAAGGTACAATATACTCTCAACTGAACTCAGTACCTGTGAAACTATATTTTTCTACAATAAAGCAAAACCAACAAAGTGTTTACTTCAGCCCTGCCACTTATCAAATCAAGAACTAATATATATATATATATATATATATATATATATATATATATATATATATATATATATATATATATGTATGTATATATATATATATATATATATTTTTTTTTTTGTGACCAACACATGCGTCCTGAAATATGATTGATGGGAGATCTATTTTGGAAAGTGTAATTAGTAAATACTGTATTAAAATTGAATTTAACCAAGTTTATACCATCCCATTTGGATATACTGCACAGATCCGCATTAATAGACGAAACGATATCAGCTCTAGAAACAGATCTAGTTTAAGAGTTAGGTGGAAGGGAAAAATGTGAAGAAGAGGGAAGAATAGAATCATCAGCATAAGAATGGATAGAATCAGTCGGCGTGTGAAGTAAATGATTGATAAAAAGAAGGAAGAGAGTAGGTGAAAAAACAGAGCCCTGTGGAATACCACTATTGGTAGAGAAAGAGCGAGAGTTTGATCTCTCGACAACAACTGCCATGGATCGGTTCTCAAGGAAACTAGAAATTAGAGAACAAAGTGGGGAAGAGAAACCAAAAGAGGAAAGTTTAGAAAGCAAAGACTTGTGCCATACCCTGTCAAATGTTTTGGAGATGTCGAGGGCCACAACGAGAGTTTCCCCATAATTCGTAAGAGAGGATGACCAAAGATGGGTGCAATAGGAGAGCAGATCACCAGTATATCTCGCCTGGCGAAAACCATAGTGGTGATGCGACAAAAGAGAAAGGCGTTCAAGGTGACGGAGAAAATGGGAGTTAAGAGGGTTTCTAAAATCTTAAAGAGGGATGAAGTTAGGGCAATGGGTCGATAGTTAGAGGGCTGAACCGAGGCATGCTTCCAAGAATAAGGAAAAGTTTGGGTTTTGAGGCAAAGGCTAAAGAGGGAAGCAGGCACGGGAGCCATAATTTCCGTCTGGTCCATGCGTCTTACATCCAAATTGGATAACACAGCTATCAAACAGGGAGGTACTACCGCCTGGGAAGATATTGGAAGCATAATGTGCTGTCTAGGTGTAGACCCTGCTGCCATACGTCATCACGAAAATTTTGACCAAGTCCCAGGTTGCTGATCTGACATTCTGCCTCATTTACACACACTTGTAGGGTGGGTCCCAATTGTTTCTCTTACTTTGACAGCACAACATACATATATCGTTTCTCACTCTTGATCTTTTTTTCTTTCGTTTTTGTTTATTTATTATTATTATTATTATTATTATTATTATTATTACTATTATTATAATTATTATTATTATTATTATTATTATTATTATTATTATTGTTATTATCATTATTATAATTATTATTATTTTTATTATTATTATTTTTATTATTATTATTATTATTATTATTATTATTATTATTATTATTATTATTATTATTATTATTATTATTATTATTATTATTATTATTATTATTATTATTATTATTATTATTATTATTATTATTATTATTATTATTATTATTATTATTATTATTATTATTATTATTATTATTATTATCGCCCCTTCCCCCCGCCAACCCAGTACCGATGTGGGAGGGTATAGGAAAGTGCATAGGTTCAGTCAGAGGAGTAGGAGTAGGAGGGGTGGAGTTTGGAATCGTCTAAGGTGGAGTTAGAGGAGAATAAGGTTCCAAAGAGATTGGCTTTATCAGGGGGAGAGTTGGCCTTTAGAGTTATCAGGTCGGGAAGGAGGAGGAAAAGAGGGAGTGTGGAAGTTATCACAGATGTTTTTGGTTAAGGACTAGAAGTATTTACTAGAAGAAGTGTTATAGTCAGGTTAGCGGTCTTTCTCTTGATAAAATTCCGCTTGGCCCTACGAAGAATAACCTTAAAACGATTCCTAGAAGTAATGAAAGAGGAGTGGGTAACAGGAGGAGATAGTTTCGTAACTTGATACACCCTATCTCTCTCCTTACATACAAGAGAACAGGATCGATCAAACCATTATTGTAAAGTGAAAGTT